CCCCGCCCCACACCCGGCCCCGAGGCCCCGGGCTCATCGCGGCCAATCGAAGCGTAACTGTCTCCCGCCCCGCCCCGCCCCGATGCACTTGGAGCTTTTGTCACGCGTTGGCGGCGAGGTGCTGCACCTCGAGGGGAGGGAGGGAGGCGCGGGCGGGTATGTCTGATGAGGGGCGGAGAGATGAAGACAGACTCTCGCGGCGCGGCCGGAAGTGGTCCATCAGAAGTAGGGGGAGGAGAGGGAGGGGGCGTCGGGGAACTCGGCACGCGGAGCAACATCCGTTATTACGAACCTGAATATCAATAAATCGTCACATCCGCGAGCTGCATTGAGGCGTGAGGTGGAAGGCGGGGCAGGAGGTGGGAGGGGGGCACCACGAGGTTCGTCTGTCCGCGTCCTCCGAGAGGTCCCCACTTTTATAGAAAGGGAAGAGGAGGGTAAGAAGACGGACAGAGCCGAGGCAAAAAAATATACTCGAGGAAGGGCGAGAGGGAGATCACAAAGACTCTTGGCCAGGACGCGCGGGGAAGGGAAGGGGGCAGCAACGGCTGGCCGCAAAAAGTCGAAACGCAAGTGTGATGTGGCATGTCCTGTTTGGGTGCGACACCCGACACCAGTCGACGGCCTGTCCTGGGCGGCTACCGTGCTGGCCGGTGCGCTCGGTGCACCCAGGTGCACCCCGCTGCTGCTGCTGCTGCTGCTGTTGCTGCCCCGCCGAATGCACCGGGCCGGCGCAGCGTTGCACCGGGGCCGCAGCACGCACGGCAAGCGGCTGCGGAAAAATCGCGTGCGACGAGCCACAGGGGGGAGGGGTAGAGAGGAGCCCTGCGCTCCGGGTGCGCAGGCCTGCGTACACTGTGTGGTGAGGAAAACGAGCTGCTACGGGACCGGCCAGGCCAGGCCACGAGGAAAGCAAAGGAGGTCTCGTTGCTCCGGGTCAGCAAAATAACTGACGACAAAACTGTCCTCTATTGTGACGTCGGCCCTCTGCTGCTCGAGCGAATAACGCTAACCGCGGTGAGGGTTTGCGAGCCAACAGTACGCCGCCGGCGCGCACCAGGTCTCGCCCCTTCCTGCAGCACGGCCCTCATGCAGTTCTACCACCGGAGGCCGGAGGCAGTGCAACGCTGGGCGGGGCTGGGCGGGGCGCGCCCAGGAGACAAGTAGGAAGTGCTACTAGAGGCGTCAGCCGGCGTCTGCGAGATGCTTTACTAATGAAGGCACAAGGCTCCCTCGTCGCGGCTGTGTCCGAGAGCGAGAGAGAGAGAGGAGGCAAGAGTATGCGGAGTGAGAGAAAGACGGAGAGAGGCCATATCGAATAAGAATATGCATAGGAGAGCACACAGACGCACACATACATAAATACACTCCCACAGCTGGAGCAGTGCGGATGCCGAGACAAGAGAATGCAGCCTCGCCTCCTCCGTCTCTCTCTCTCTCTCGTTTCCTCTGCTCCACTCGCCACAACTCCTGTTATTTGTCTCTGTCGCCCCGCGCGCCCGATTTACAAGACAAAGTCATTTTCCCGGGGGAAAGGTCAGACTAGATATCTCGCGAGGCAGTAAAGAAAACCCCGGCGCGCAGCAGTCAGCAGAGGAAAAGAGGTAGAGAGAGTGCGGGCGATTTTCTGCTGTGGAGGTCCTGATCCGACCCAGCCGCAGGGCGTAGGGCTGCGCCGGCCCGGCTGGACCCGGGCGCTGAAGGTTTCTGGTTTCGTCCGTCCGACCTAGGGCACGTCACATTTTGGGCTCGACGTACGGCCACTCGACCGTGAAAGGCACGGAGACAGCTGCCCCGGGGTGAAGAACATGGAGAAATACCGTAATTTATTAATTTGACCACCGTTAATAAATTTCGTCTTTCGGCCATAGAGTCCGGCGGCGCGTGCACATCGTGGCCCGCCCCCCTGGAGCCTTGCTGTCTGCTCCAGTGCCTCCAGCACCTGCTCAACCGTTTCCTACCGTTTTGTAACGGAATGACCATTCTGATTGCCCGACTCATCAGAGGGGACTCGCCAGGACTCACGTACCCCAGTGTCCTGCTGGTATGCGCTCGGCGAGCCCGGGGTTCGAGTACCGGCCAGTCATTTTGTTCGGAGCCCGGCCAGGCCAGGAGGCCGCGAGTCGATCTGCCATTTCATCGTTGAGCTCGTTTCGAAATCCCGTTTGCGAGTTGTATGCGAGGCGATGCGCGTCCCGGCAGCGCGGCGGACGGGCGGGCAGCCCGGTGTGCGATCGGACCGGCAGACGGACGGACGGACGGACGCGCAGACAGGCGCTGACAGCCGCAGATTGCTGACAAGCCTGGCGGGCCAATGCCTGTCGACATGGTCACAAGTCGATACTCATGTCTGATGTGTACTTAGGCCCCTGTCACATGGCGCTCGCTCACCGGGCCCACCCCGTCGGGTTCGGCCCCTCCCCGGCCCCGCCCCTGAGGCAGCGGTGGTGGACCCTGTTTGGCGCCTGTTTGCCGCTTCAGGTTCCTCCTCTACCCGTCGTAACCCCGCCGACGCACTTCTCTATTTCCACTGGCATTCTCCTCCCCATTGCTTCTTTTTCCCAGGCCCCGGTCAGCGACCCCTCCCCGGGACAGCCATGCCGATGGAGCGGGGCGCGCGGGTACAACAACTATGACAGATCTCCGTGCTGCTTCGCGCTCCTGCCGAGCCAAGCCGAGCCCTCTCCTCTACGGCTCTGTGGACTGGACCTGGAATGCAGCACCGACTCGGCTCCGGCTCGGCCCGGCCCGGCCGGGCCCCACTCGGCTCTGCGGCCCTCGCTGCCATCAGCTGCTGCGAATGCACTCACGCCCGCCCCGCCACGCTGCGCCACGCTGCGCCACGTCGCCGTGGTGTCGCCGTGGTGTCGCCGTACCAGGCGGGATCGCGGAATATATGGCTGCATATCTGGCCGGGACGGGGACCACACCTCGTGCCGGTCTCTATGACTAGTTGGTGGATGCGCCGCGCCACGCTGCGCCGCGCCACGCCGCGCCACGCCCCTATCCCCTTTCAATAGCAGACAATGCTGCACGAGACGTATTCATTTTGGCCTGACACCGCACCAACGCCACATTACTTTTCACTCGGCTCGGCGCAAGGTGACGCCTTGCGACGCCCGCATCTCGCTCCCCCTTCTCTCTCTCTCTCTCTCTCTCTCTCTCTCTCTCTCTCTCTCTCTCTC